CCACCCCCCACCCACCCCCACCACCACAACTAGGCCTTCATGCACAGCAGAAAACGAGCAAGAGATAAGCGTCAGCGTTTCATTCACTTCATGCTCAAGCACTGCTGAGAGTGCAGCAGACATCTGAGACAACTTGCGACCTCAACGACCTTGTGACCTCCAAGCTACACTAACTCTCATACTCCAAACAGCTGCAACGTAATCACAGTGACAAGTGCCTGTTGCTCTTTGCATTCAGTCTAAAAATTTGAAACTCATTCTAAAGGGTCTCACACTGTTATCATGTGCTATTCCATTTACACACAATAGTGTTGTGATTGGAAATCAAATAGGAATGTAATTACCATTCCCAATGTTGATGTTAATAGTTTACAGTAAAAATGGAGCGAAGGTCGTAAAGTATATGTATCTGTATTTCTTGGTATTACAAAATATCAGACCAGTTTTTGAGGTCATCGGGGGGGTTTTTTTCACAGCAGTCTGCAATGCAGCATATTAAATGCAGAACAGTAGTTATCTAACTTGCCCTCTTCCTGGAAATAAATCAAAAGATACTGGAAAAAAAACATCTGCAAAACAGACGTAATTGACTGCGTGATCAATAAAAGACTTGAGACTGGAAGGCAACACAGTGAAACCGATGGGAAATGTACATTACTGTGCAAAAGTCTCACTTGCTTTCTTATTTAAATGAGCTGGTAATAGAAAGACATGTACAGTTAGCAGGATTAAAGATTTCCACAAACTTTGAGAAAGGCACACGGTGCACGGGTCAAGGGAATACGATACATTCTGGATCCGGACCAGAGGATCGAGATAAGGGTGTGCCGCAAACATTTAATTTCATTCATTCAACCACTTTGACATCATTGGAACATGCTTTACTACTTTGTAGTCACAATCTGGAGGCTAATTTTAACTTGGTCTGCCCAAACCCTCGGGTCCCGCCCGCTGCTGGATTTAACTCCTTCCTCACACTCTCAAACACGACTGGAATTTGCATTGTCACCCAATGACTCTCTCTTTACTGACAAGAATGATTTCTTTCCTGAACTTGTAAATGTCTTTGAATCTATGATAGATGCATTTAAATGTTGTCAATGTGTGTTCTGTTAATAATCTACTTTTCCCTTTGCTTTGCCTTTGAATGCCTTGAGCTGCTCTTTTTATCAATAATTTTAGGTGTTGCGCTTTTGGTTGAGTGTCGCACAAAGGGGTACCTTGTGTATGAAATATCAATAAAATTTGCGTTGCCTTGCCTAACAAAAATCTAACAATGGCCTTTTTTTGCAGACTTTTGCAAGGCATTGTAAATATATGATACAGAAATAAAGTGATGACATGGCACACTGATGGGAGGACATGAAGCAGGACTGGCTCGAATACAAACACGAAGATGAGCCAAACAGATTGATTAACAAGATTAACAAGGACGTATTTAAAGTTGGGGTGGATGAGGTGTGTCGAGTAGGGGAGGGGGTGCAACATGAAATTGAAACCAACGCGTTACTGCACACAATACAACACTTTGATTGGTTGCACAAAACACTCCATCAAATGCTCACCCGTAACGGTGAATCAGTCACAAAAGCACAACATTCATTCATGAACACAACAGACTCTTGCCATTGATTACAAAAAAGGTTCGCCACCTTTTTTCACCCCCCCCATATGAAGACCACCGAGGACAGAAAGGAACATTCACCGTAGTCATGCCATGCAAAGGTAACCGTGAGATCCAGTTTCAATGCGTTGTTAGAGATCTTAACTCGTTCGGCTCAAATGCAACTATGAGTGTGCAAATGCAGTGGAGGCATGCACATGCAAGGCTCGTTGGGCAAGGGGGAGGACATTGTCGGGGGGGATAATAAATAGAAAGGAGAGGGTGATGAACATAGAAGCAAAGTAGGGGAGAGAGCGAGGGTCACCTCCCCTCTCCCATTGGCCACTGAGTGCACACAGACTGTGTGATGTGGATCATTCACAGAGCGGACACTTACAAACGTGGGAGTTTCAAGACTCTTACCAAAGGAAAAAAAAAAAAAAAGCAAGAAATAAAAAAAATCGCAAAAGAAAAATGCACGAAAACGTCGCAAGTAAATCAAAGAAAAAATATGGGTCAGAGGTCAACACGAGGTCGGCAGGAGGTCGGAGTTCGGAGAGCAGTAAGGAGGAGGACGAGTGAGGCTGCAAATGACATGTCCACAGAAAAAGAGGAGGACATATTCACAGGGAAGGACAACAGGGCTTCCAAAATGACATTCAGTTCACCAACAGCATTATTGGTTCAAAAGAAACTTCATGCAACATCGGGCATGACGAGTTCATCAAAATTCAACGGCAAAGTCTCTCCAGAATCAGAGGGTACATTTTATTCTCTCTATGTAGTTTCGACTGTCTTAACTGTGAAGGATCTTAGCAGGAGCATCGTCAGACAAAAAGTAAAGCAAGCACCCTAATTTCCTGTAGTTATTTTTTTAAATATACTTCCATATAATATCTATGGATATTTTTAAAAGAACGTGTTTTCCTTTGTATCCTTGCTGTACCCGTTCATGTCAAAAGACACGATCCGCGCCTCGCACAACACTTGCACCAGGCATAAAATTAGAACCGACCGACACAACCCTGACACATGATCTCCATGAAGTCAATAATTAGTTTAGTATGCACAACCTGATCTATTTAAAAGTAAAAAAACTTTAATTTAAGAGGGATGTAATTGCTTTTAATGACAGTTTTGAAAAAAGAAAAACCATGTCATTTTATTGTATTACTCCTAATGACATTAATTACTTTGACAGAGCTGAAAATGCCTTTGGGAGGCAAATGGGACAAGACGAGATGGCAATCAGGTTCACATCTGATGTGATCTGAATGATCTCTTCCTTTCTTTGGCTTTGGTTTCTGCTGCACGGTTACATCTCGTTACATTGTCTCCAGTTTTCACACAATTGCGCCAGCCAGGAGTGGCCAACTTTCCACCGGTGAAAATGGAGTCAATAGGATGGAAGGCACGTGTCAACGAAACCACAAGAAAAAGGAGTAAAGGACCACCGGATGTACTGACTTTTGCTCGTCAGGCAACACTTGGGATCGGTGAATGGTCTGCATCATGTGCAACAACGTGCTGCAATATGATGCAGGAATGCGTAGGTGGTGAATGCTTGCAGCTTATCAAAACATTTGTGGAGACAATTCTTGTATTTGATCTCATTAGATTCAGCTTCAGCTCTATCTAACGAGTGTAAATAAATGCTTTATAGTGGAAGGCACTGCTGGGGTTGAATGGCAGTAGGAGTGTCCTGAGTCCATGAGCATTTTGCTGCGGTTACATCCTGCAAAAGTCTCAAGGCAGCATTCGTACGCGTTAGATAAGCAGGGAAATAAGAGAGGGGGATTCGGAGAGGGCTTCAGAGGATGGAAGGGAGGGAGGTAAGATGGTACACAGTCAAACTTGGTGAGGAGCACTCACCATTGGTCATGGCAGGAGAGAGGTGCTCCCTCTCATGATGTCGTCTGCCGAGTTCACGAGAGCCTTGTCGGGGAGGCTGTGCTGGTTGGCCCTCAAGCATGGTGACGATGTCCATGCGGTCGATACTCTTCAGGGCTGCATACAAGGTCTCCACTGCAGCGGCGCAAGCCGACACACAAACAGAGGACTGTCAGGACAATCGGAAGCCGGACGGTGAATGTGACGAGAGAGCGATTTGGAGCAGCCTGCACGGACTTTTGGCTCTCTTGCCCTCACGAGTTGCCCACAAGTTGAGTAGCGCGGAACTCTGCTCCAGCAGGGAGTTGGGGTTCTCCACGCGGATCTTATTGATGTCATCCACACTCAGCTGAAGCTCACGAGCCAACTCTAAGGAGAATGAATCGCAAGATAAGCGCATTACAAGAACCTTGTTTCTGCCTATGTGCATAGAGGGATGACCGCTATCCACCTAAACAATTTTGAGTTTGTTGAATGAGCACAGAGGGAGACACGATGATGAGACGAGGTGAACACAGTTGGTTTTCAAAGACGAAAAGCAACACGCACAACATTTCTGTTGACTTACCGGCCCAGCTCAGTCCTAACTGTTCCGCGATCACGGCCATCTTTAGTTCAGTCCTCTCCATGGCGCTCATTGATGCTGCAAGTTACACATGTGACCAAAAAAAACCCAAATTGGCTGTTTTTGCTTATTAAGTTGATTTGGCAGCGCTACCACAAACATATTGAAACTAGGTAAATTGAAGCAACTTATTTCACAGCAAGGACATTTTTGACTAAATATGTGCAATTGGATTGGGTGATTCCTACCCATGGCGGGTTCGTTCAGTGCACTGTATCTTTCTCTTAGAGCCAGCGGGGTCAAAGTTCGTCTCCGGTCTTCACTTCCAATAATCTATCAATCAAGTACACAACAGTCAACATGGTATAAAGATCTCGACAAGACACACTGGCGGGTGCTGGTCATTCAAATGAGGGGGTATGCTCAGCTCCGCCTCAAACAGATCATCCAATCATCATGCAGAAACTGAGCATCCGCCCTGTAGACCCCCGGAGACGCCAAAAGCGGGATAAAACCCCGCATTTATCCAATGTATGGCCAGTTTTACGAAATGGCATAGCCCACTGAAGCTGTAGTCGCTCGGTGTTCGGCTGTGGCAAGCACCGTGGTGCAGCGGGCAATGAGAAGGAAGTTCATAATCATCAGTAGCTGATTATGAACAAAAGATGAAGTCATTCTAGTGTATTTTTAGTCAATCATATAGACAGACAGCAGTACATATTTCACCACTTTTTGGTGAGGATGCTGAGCTTCCCTCTCAGAACAATCGCGACTGCCAGAGACAGATGGAGAAGCGAGCTGGCTCTGATTTGTACCTTGACACATGGAGGCATGGTAATGTTGAGGTTACACAACACATGTTGACTGTCTTCATACTTGGTGGTCTTGCGAAGGAAAGACAGGAAACCAGTGTGCTCTTTGCTGCTGTCTCTCACCTTGCACACAAGCACCAAAGGAGCAATGAAGACACACTCTCGTGCTGTACAAGAACAGTTTCACTGCACATGTTGGCACCTTAACAGAGACAGGAAGTCTGTTATCTCTGAAGGCCTGGAAGCTGAAGCAGCGAGGCTGCTGGGTGGCCTTCCGCACTGGTACGAGATTGCCGGAACACTCCAGGTGAAGCGGCATTCCCTCCATCACCTGTGAGAGTAAGTAAGATTCGTAAATATTGTGTGTTGTGAAGCGATGCTTTTACAGTTTTGATCAACCGACCTCAATGTCCCTGCTGCGGGCCACCTCGGTGAAGTTCTCATGCTGTTCCAGGGTTTTATCCATCTTATCGTCTGTCATGCAGTAACAGCGCAGGCGACCTTCGCGTAACTCGTTCATCTTGGCGAAAACCACAAACTTTGCCATGTAAGGTACGGCTGACAGCTCTTTGTAGAGAAGGTTGGCAAAGGAGACAGACTCTGCTGTACGAGGACAGTCCGCCAGCCAGAACCTTTGAGGCACCAAAAAAAAAAAAATTGATGATATACATGCCTATATCGGCAATTAGCGACATTTTTAGAAGGGCATAAACAACAGCATTTTTTTCACAAATCGTGGCAGGGCTCAGTTTGCGATGTTGAATTGTCAATTACTTTTCCTGTACAGCTAATAAAGCTTTTGGAAAGTTTATTTTTTGCTGAATGAACCATGCTTGACATTTATGGTCAAGAAAATGAGCATTATCTGTTCTTTGAAGATGTCATTTTAGCTCCAGCTCATGCGCAAGTATATCTAATGTTGTCGCCCGTGGGTACTGGTGGGTGCATACATTGCAACCAAGTGAACTTACCGTGCAGATACATTGGTTGTAAAACTGGCACATTCGTTTGCGTAGATAAGCTTAGTGGTGCCAGTGATGTCCTCCCATTGGGCTGCAGCTGTCCCACCTAAGAAGGACAAGATGAGATTGAGGTGAATACAGATAACGCATCAAAATATTTGCAATCCTTAAAATGATATAAGGTTCCATGAAAGCTCGGACCAACAACTAGTCCTCCTGCCAAGTAGAAGGAACATGAAGTACCTATGACAGAGCAAAGCAGGCGCAGACTGGTGGTATCCCCCTCCCCGGAGTCTCGGGGGCTCTCCCGCCAGGACGGAGGCAGGGGGATGCGGAGGCCGATGGGTCGGTGGAATTTTCGCCGCCGAGGCTCCACCGTCACCACGGGGCTAAAGTTGGCTTGGTTACCAAGCAGCTTAGCAACCAACTCATCTGGAACGGGCTGAGCCTGAGGTCAAATGTCAGTGATGCAGGGGTGGAACACCACAACGGTGCAGAAGTGATGAAGCACAATGTGCAAATGTGGAAGGGATAGCAGGAAAGAGTCATGAGTTGACGTGAGGCAAGATGGGAAGGGAAAAACATGAGAACAGAGTAAATAACAGAAATCTAAACTAAGATTGCTTATTATAAGCATAGACAAAAATCAAACCAAACTGTGTGAGATAATAAAACATTTTTATTACGTGAGATTTGATATCAAAGGTTTGTATATATTTTGCCAACAAAGAAGAAACATAAAACATGACCAAAACAGCAACATAAACATTAAACTTAAGAGTGTGTGCTGAAACTTAGAACTGCATTCATTTTATTTTCAGTCATTTACCATTTTCCTATTGATTTTACAACATGAGTGGTAGTTTTAAGTTAGGAATAATTCATTAGGCTATCTATATATACATTTTGGTGTCTAACAAACATTAGGCACATGATGTGTTTACCACAGGGATGGGCAACTGGCGGCCTGCGAGACGCATGTGGCCCTCGTCCACTCTTAGAGAGGGAACGCTTTCAGGACCAACTTTAGTGCATTACACTACACTGTTTACACAGGTGAGTTAGCCAGACTGGTAATTTGAGGATTGGAATAACATGCAGGAAAAACATATGGTACAGTAGTATTCAGGGATGCACGCTAACTATCAGACGAATAACAACAGATGTTTCAAATAGACCGACATTGGTCTGTTTATTGACACTTTAATAATGTCTGGCGCAGACCTTCTCAAATAGGGGTGCGGTGTAATGTCAGGGTGAGCGCGTGCAAACCCAGGGAACATGTTTTTTTTTTTTTTTTTTGCTGTATTAAAATAAAGTGTAGTTGCACATTCACTACAGTAGGTGGCAGTGGTGCTCTCATTTTTCAAAGAGTGTACAAAGTGTAGGTCCTCTACAGAGGTGTACTTCTGACAAATGATACTATTTAAAGTAGTGGTAGAGAGGGGGAGGAGGGATATTTTCTTCTGGGGGAAAAAAAAACTTATTTTGGATCCCTAGGTAATATAATTTGAAAATCTTTGAGGAAGTTGATTTTTGTGAAAATGCACAAAATTAATTCTTCTCCTTCATGGTTTGCTGATCAGCACTTTTGTGCCATCTTTGAATGGGAATTTTTATGCAAGAGAGACCTTTGTACTGGGGAGTGGGAGGAAATCACAGTATGTGCTTATTTTTGGTAGTTTTTTCAGTGTGTATTTGAAAGTTAAAATATATGACGATAATGGTACTCTTCTGCAAGTTGGTTTTAAAAAAAGCCATATTTTGTCCTCATTAAAAATTACATTTTTATCATAGATCTGGTGAGGATGTGTGTGGTTCTATGCGGTCCCGCAGTAGCACTAACGAAAAATTGTGGCCCCATCATTTCAGTTGACCATCCCTAGTCTATCATTTCATTTATTTACAGTTATATATTCAGACATTATATTAATATCTATAACTGACATTGCTTTCCCTTATAGTCATATTTGTGAACTCGGGTTCATCAGTATTTGGACAAAATTAAAAAAAAAAATTGCACTTCAGAAATCTGATAATTTGTTCCATACTAGCTTGAAAAAAAAAAAAGAAAAGAAATGGTTGGTTACTGTACTGCTTAAACAAGATTTAAAATTAGATTTCTCATATTAAAATTTTTGTACCCAACAGTATGAATCAGATAATTGGACTGATAAATCTATTCTAAATTCCACTGTACATGGTTCTAATAAAATGATCAACAAGATTTTCTGACTATTGCAGTTGTGTAGCTGGTGTTTTTAAATTTCCACCAATGTGTCTGGTCCAGCTGATCATTGGAGTGAGCAAACACATACAGGAGATTCAAGGTCCAATAAAGAGGTCAAGTTTTTGTCGGGGACACATGCATGAGGCCACCTATTCTCAAAATACTTGAAATCAAAATCATAAAGAACAATAGTGGAATATATGACCATATATATATATGGACATAACTATTGGGTCAGTACAAATGTTATTTCCCTTACAAGACATTTTGAACACTATTCTGTGCTTCCAACTTTGTTGAAACCGATTGGATGGGTCATTTTCTGTTGCAGCACAAATATGTCCCAGTGCACAAAGTGAGGCCCAGATGAATTGAGGAAAAGAACTCAATCATAACACAGAATGCCCTCGAGTTCCAACATCGGTCACCTCTGACACAAATTCTGGATGAAGAAAACATTTTCTTCCATTTTTACATCCCCAAAATGTCCCCCAATTTATGTCCATACAGTGCATGAGTAAGGAAATGAGAAAAAAAAAAACAAAACACAAGGCCACAAAGTAGCTTACTAGGATAAAGGTGCAAAGTGCATGCACTGTGCGATGGTGACAGCAAAATAAAATCACAAGCATGCAAGGCAATAGCGGACATGAGGACGAATATATCCAACAGGCTTTTCTTTCATGATTCTGTCGTCCTTCCTTCCTTCTCCTCATCGTCCCATCTCACCTGCAGTCCCAGACGGACTCGCTTGGTGACCGCCGTCTCGGGAAATGTGGCCTGGACCAGCGGCACCAGTTTGCTCGTCAAGGAACCCCCCTCAGGCCCAATCAGGTCGCTCTCTTGCTGGACCCGCGACACAACGGCAAAATAAAGCGGGAAATCAGTTGAGATGATGCGGCGAATTCGCTTCTTCCCAAGTTCCTCCTGACTTTCCAAGTCTGACAAAAGAAAATGACCAAATGAAATGATCGTGCATCAGGCTGTGGTCATGCACACAGAGTGGAAAAATTCTCACCTTCGTCCATCCCATTGAGAATGGTTTCAAGAACCTCGTCACCATAGCGATTGCGGTGTTCCTTCCATACAGATCCATTCTCACTCCTCAGCACCACAAGCTCGCGGTCGCCACGACCCAGAGCCGCAAAGTGAGGGATCTCCACAATCACCGGCCTGTCACACGACATTATTTTATGAAAACTTCTTCACGTCATTTTATTTTTTTTATTTGTGTGTAGTGGGTGTTTGAACAATTTTAAATCCAACATATCCTGGTGGGATACCCCAGCCCACCTGCTCTGCAACGCTTTGGCTAAAACAAAGCAACCAGGAAGACCAATTTCGTCCTTACCCCAGAAACTGCATGCCGGCTGGGCCGAGGGAGATGATTCTGCTGGCCAGGCCCTCTCCCTCCACAAGCGGAGGTGGACTTGTGAGCTTCTGCGGCTTCACCAGGCGACAGGTGATGCGGGTGGGAGCCGCACAGGTCTTTGGGGGAATAATGACCCGCAGACCATTGTGCCTACTGCCTCGCATTGAGCCGCCTCGGGCATCCACCATAAAACTGACCAGAAACCTGTCGCCGGACAACATACAATTTCTTTTCACATCCTGATCACAGTTTAGGGTTGTTAAACGTTGTGCTGAGCTGACCCTGTGTGTATGGGACTGGCGACTGGGCTGACATTGTCGGATGTTTCAGTTGCTGGGCTGCTGGGAATCAGAGAGTCTTCATCATACTCTTTTGGCAGTGGAAGTGGAGTGTGCTGCAGACAGAACAAACTGATCATGAAACCGGTAAACCAACGCTGCAATATGTTTGACATGCAAATAGTAGACGCAGACAGAATTTAACATAATCCCCCCAAAATCTAACACTGAAATCTGTCTTCAAATGTTATGTTTGGTGGATAATGTAATGATTCACATTGTCAGAGTGGAATTTATTTTGTAATGTTTACTACCAGAAAAGAAAGTTCCGTGATAGCGTACAGTTTTACATCACTGCAAACTGCCACACCAATGAGCTTCAATGGACTCCAACACTATTAAATGATGCACGACATTAAAAGACATTTCAACAAATTACGAGTATGCAAAGTGACCTTGTTCATGAATTAGTGATGAATTTAGATGAAAAAGATCCTCTCATGCCAAATATGTGACGGTCAATTCATGCATGTGCTCAACCTGATCGAGCTCGTGTTCTTTCAGGATCACAGTCTCGGGTGAAACGCGGGGAATCCTGGGAATGGCTGGTGAGTAATTTCTGTTGAATGAGATACAAACAACCCAAAAATTTCAGATGGAGGTCATTTAGCTGGTGCTCTAGTGTTTTTTATTTCATAAGTAAATCCAAGTTGAGTCCCCTGGTATCCGGTTTGGCTCTTTCCCCTGTTTCCCACAGCCCCCTTACGCTGTGCCCAGCCCTCTCTCGTACTCCAGTGATTTCTTGGGGGAGAGGAAATCGTCATCATGGTCTTTCATGTCATCCATCTTCATGTACCTGGCCCCTTCTGTCCCCAGGAGCTCCTCTCCTTCATAGAACAACATGCCAAAGAGAGCCAACAGACCGAGGTCAGGTTGGTCAAACCGCAAAAATGGGAAAGACAGTGAGAGAGAGCGAAAAGGGCAAGGTGTTAATCAGCCGTTTGAAGGGTTAGACATCATGGAAACCGGGTGAGATGAAGCATGAGTGACGTGGATCTTGTTCATGCAAGTAGTAACATGACAACGAACACTTCAACGATGAAACATTGCCTCATCAAATGATAGGCATGATAAATGTGGTCAAGACTACAAGAATGATGACACATTAAGATGATTACGATAAACATAAAGTCTTCAGAACAGAGGGGACGGCATCAAAATCTAATGTCAGTAAAATTCATTACTTACCCTTCCAAAACATGACCATATTGTTTTTTTTGTTCAAAAGTAATGAAAAATATCATTTTTGACCATGTCAGCTACCATCTGAAAAAAGTGCACAGTTCACTTGTTCATATGGATTATTACTTCATGAGGGTCCTGGATTTTGTCTAGGATACTGCAAATACTAGATGAGTGTCATCACATTTAATACATCCTCTGAACATCCCCTGAGCCTCTTTTGTTATTTATCCATCTCTTTCTCCATTATCTGATCCGCTTATCCTCACGAGGGTCGCGGGCATGCTGGAGCCTATCGCATCTGTCTTTGGGAAATAGGCAGGGCTACACCATGAACTGGTTGCCAGCCAATCACAGGGCACACAGGGACGAACAACCATTTACAGTCACACCTGGGGACAATTTAGAGCGTCCAATCAACCTACTATGCGTGTTTTGGAAATGTGGACAGAAACCGGAGTACCCGGACAAAACCCACGGAGGCAAGGGGACAACATGCAAACTCCTTTGATATTTAGAGCAACAGTAAAAGCCAGTTAAAATACGAGATACTAATACTAACTTTATGACCCAGCATTGGTATAAGACTTCAAAGTCTTTAATATAATACATGCTATAATAAAACAGTAGTTGCTACAACTGAATCCTAACAGTGTACATTGGAGCTTTGTAAATACAAACAAGAGGCTAAAAGGAAGTTGCAGTCAGGTTATAATACTGAGACTTTAGACAGTTATCAAGTCTACCACAAGTGCTCAGTGATGCAAAATTTAGCCACGATTAGACCTACATCAACAACCCTATTACATCATTTTACATAACATTGTTTTCACGCATAGTTGCTCTCATACCACAGACATTCGAATTAGTGAGTGAGTGTTATTGCAGAGACATGTAACGGTGACAGACAGTGTGGCTACGTGCACATGGCGGTGAGAAACCGGAGAGGATACCACAGTGAACACCAGCACAGACAAGCTAGCAGAAGATAACAATGGAGAGGACGAGCTTGCAATGGAGACGCATACTGTACTTCATTACGTAAACCTCCCAATGGTACACATGGAGAAAAAAAGACATGCATACCTAATGTAAGCTGCGCAAGGCCTAAAAAAGTGAAAAAACAGTAAAAAAAAAAGAAGAACTGTGAGGCCAGTTCAATTCAATTTACAGCAAACTGGCTGTATTGTTATTTAACTGACGTGTCATACCTTCATCCTCGGACACATCCAGTATCTCGTCCACCGTTTCTGGGAAACTCATGCGGTGTTTTTCCGTGATTGTCTGAGGGGCATAGAAAAAGTACACGGACATTTGAATAGTTTGTTCGTACCGTTGTCCGCGTCATACCGAGATTTCAGACCTCCTCACCATGGAAACGGTCTCCTCAGTCACAAGCTTTAACACGTCAATCACAGAGATGTAGCCCAGCCTCTTGGCAATCGCGAGTGCTGACGTCCCATTCTAACGGACACAGACACACAATGATCCCACGGTAACGTTTCGTGACGGGGGAAGGAAAAGGTGCCGTCCTGCTCACCGTTGTTGTCTCGTTAGGCTGAGCTCCATGCTTCAGCAGCAGCGTGACAATGTCTGTGTGTCCTTGCTGGGCGGCCTGGTGCAGGGGAGTGTAGCCAAGCTAGATAAGATAAGAGACAGTTATCAGTACCACTTTCTTTCTTCCTTTCTTAATGCACTAACTACAGCTGCATGACATTGAACTAATGGCATTCCCTGAATGATGCACGACATCTCTACCTTTTCCTTTGTTAGGGCTTCTCTATGTGTCACTACACACTCATACACCAGAAAATGTTTATTTTACCCTGACACAGAAGCCTGATTGAAATTAATCGGTTGTACATTGTGTTTATAAAGCATTGCACATAAAAATGAATGCTGACGGTATGTCCCTGGCCATGTTCCAGGCAAATGTTTTACTCCATTTGATCTCCCCCAAACCTCGAAAGGAAGTGCCAAATCCTCCGCAACATCCATCATTTCCATGTCAACATAGACAAATCTACTTTTATTAAGCCTGAGAGGTTAAATTAGGAGAAGATGCCAGGGGCTCCTGCGTTACCCCCAAGCTACATCCTTCTGTCCGCATTGTACACACAACTACACGATATGCATTGAATAAATGGCTTGTCTGCAAATGCATAATTGCTTTTATAAGTTAGGATACGTTACACTGAGTGTTACAGTTGTATCAGTTAGTTCATGTACAGCCATTCCGCTGTAAATCTGTTGCAGATGAATTTCACAACCCGAAGGAGGAGCTCACCCGTGTTTTGCTGTTGACATTGGCCTGATGCTGCAGCAGGAACTTCACCATTTTGATGTTGCCATAGTGACATGCGACATGGAGAGGTGTGTAACCCATCTGAGATGACACATTTAAACAGTCAGGGACTTTTAACACTAATGCTTTAAAAAAAAAAAAAAAAAGACTGAAGTTCAATCATAATGAAGTTGATTATTTCATGCATAATAACTGATTGTATACATTTCATTCTTCATGATACATTTTTAGTTTCTGAGACATATCCATGGCAGTGATGGTAAAATAGTTTTATAAAGGGACCACGTGAGAAGTGGTTGTCGATAGGGCCACATCAACATGCTAACAATAGCATTGTTTTGATAAGTTGGAACTTGTGCAAATATGGTTGGAGTTGTTATAGTTATCGGAAATATAAGTGATGTGACTAAGTACATAAAAATGTTCAGTGACCTCTACTACTTAATGGCTGCTGGTCAAGTATTTTGACAATCATGAAACAAAAATCTATATTCAGTCGTTTTGAATTGACATTTACAGCACATACTAACATTATAACATGATTTAATCATGTTCGCAGTGCTTATCAAGTTTTCTGTATCTTTTGTTGTGCTGCCATTTTGATCACCAACTACTAACGCATATCTAGGCCATTGCATCGTTTTTAGAAACCTTACCCGCGTCGCCGCTTGAACCGAGGCTCCTTGCTTCACTAAAATGTCAGCAATGCCAACATGTCCCTCCTGTGCCACAAGATGGAGTGGTGTCAGTCCACTCTGAAGTGAAAAAAAAGAAAGAAAGAAAGAAGTCATACACGTTTTAAATCACACATGCACACAAATATGTCTAAACGGTCTTCTTGCCTTGTTGCCAAGGTTGACATTAGCCTGTTTGGAGATGAGCAGAGAGACCATGTCGGGCCTTCCTTCCTGCGAGGCCAGGTGGAGAGGTGTGACTCCCTGTAGAGACTCAGCATTGGCTGAAGCTCCATACTGCAACAGGCTGTTAGCCACCTCCATTTGATTCTGCTTGGCTGCGATATGCAAGGCGGTGTAGCCGTTCTAAATACAAATTATGAGGGGCAGTTACAAATGAGTCCCGTCGCATGAATCACATTTACTGTATGAATGAACTTAATGATCCCTTACCCTGGCTGCACTGTGTGGTGAACCCCCCTTGCTGACAAGCAGGTTGACAACATCCAGGTTGTTGTGATGCACAGCGACGTGCAGTGGAGTCAGACCATTCTGCAAGAATGTATCACGGTAAATACATACGCAGCATGCCGGATAGGTCTGAACTGACTTGTATGGAGTTTAACACAGTCTCCAAACAGTTTTCCAAGAGTTTCTTACCTTCCCGGCGGCATTAGGGTTCGCTCCCCTTTCCAGCAACAGCTCAGCCACATCTACCTTGCCGTACTTGGAAGCCACATGAAGCGGAGTAAACCCTTTCTGCACAGACACCATTGGGAGTATGGACCCGTTATTGAACAGTCAGAAGACCGAAACAACCAAACGGGACTTTGCGTCATACCTTAGTCATCTTCGTTTGCTGTGCTTCCATGTCCAGCAGGATACGCACAGTTTGCACGTGACCCTCCCGGGCTGCGATGTGAAGAGGCGTGTGTCCTGCTGTGGTTGTGGAGTTTGGTTTGGCTTTGTGCTCTAAAAGCAGTTTCACAATCTCCTTGTGGCCCATTCGAGACGCACAATGCAGGGGTGTTTGGTCATCCTAGCAAATGTGGTGAGAGATGCTATGAAATGTACTCATTTACATAACTGGTTGCTTCACTGTGATGTTTAGCTTAACACATTTAAGGTTGCTGCTTTGGTGTGTGGAGAGAAAATTGATTTAAAGTTCTAAATGCAACTAAGAATTCAGAATATTTTATTCATTTTTCAAATCCCATTTAAAGATTGGGATTTTGATTCGTGTTTAGGCATTTACTCTTTGCCTACAATGTCATGCATAGATAACTCCTCTCCTTTCCCAACAGCACTTTCAAACAGTAAATTATGCCTTCGTCACATCTCAGCTGGATTACTGTCATGCACTTTTGTTTTGGAGTCAGCTAAGCCTCCATCAAGCGTCTCCAGTTAGTCGAAAATGCTGCTGCTCATCTCTTCATTGGTACTTATAAGAGGGAGCACATAACTACTACTCTGACGTTCCTTCACCGACTCCCTATCCATTTTAGAATTCTTTTTAAGATTATATTATTTGTTTTTAAATCTTGAAATGGTCTCGCCTCATCTTACCTCTCTGAGGTCTCTTACCCCTTTGCACCTGCCCAGTGGCTTGCGTCAGCGGTCCAGGTGCTATTAGAGGTACCGAGGACTATGTAAGGGCTCAGAGGGGATCAAGCCTGTTCGATTGCTGGTTCGTCTCTTCAAAATGACCTCCTGCTAAAGCCCCCTCAATGCCCGTCTTGAAAATGTGTCTTATATTACATTGTTATTCTTTGGCTTTTTACTCACTATGAGACTTGGTTTTAGTTTTACTGTTTTTGTGCTTTTTACCGTCTTCATTATTCATTTATTGTTTTAACCATCTTTGTTGTTGTGTGACTTATTTTTGTTCCATGGCACTTTGTAAGCAGCGGTGGTTGTTTTAAAGTGCTCTATAAATACAGTTGAGTTGAGTTGAGGTGATGGAAGTGTAAATATCCACCTTGGCTTTGGCATCCACTGGTGCTGCATTCTGTAGTAAAAACTCTGCCACCTCAACGTGTCCTGCCCGAGAAGCCATATGGAGGGGGGTTTCGACTTTCTGCCCACGCACACACACACAAATGACAAATACATACATCAACTACATCATCAAAATCAAAATGAATGTACCGCATCACTTCTTAAAGAAGATCGGCACAGTAACCCAGACGCTCTGACTAAGCTTGTCATCGAAGAATATAACTCACCACATTAGAAGCACTGGGCGAAGCTCCTTTCTGCAGAAGGATCTTGGCAATGTTGAGGTGGCCCATGAAAGATGCCACATGCAAGGGCGTCAAGCCAGACTATTTAAAAACAATGTTGCTTTAGAAGGACTATGGCCATTGGGTATATAAGAACACAAATAATTATGATATGTTATTTTGAAGTACAGGAGGTCTCCAAGTTACGGATGTTTGTAATTTCATATTTGTAACCTTGTGCCACATCATACTGTATGATAATGTAGTTCCTCTTTCTGCCGCAACATGCCAAGCGGTTATGCTCCTTACATGCATTTCCAACACTCATCTATGATGAGAAGAGGAAGACTACTTCCGTGAGCTTGTCAGGTGCCATTAAACACCAAAAAAGAAGAAGAAGAAGAAGAATGAAGACAACTCAGGCTGCTGAAAACTCAGCAATGCTTTCGTGAGCACCTGAGTCCCCAACAATGCCAATTCAGCAGCTCACTTGAACTTGGCACTCTTAAAGGAATCCACCAAAAATAAGAAATCTCCGGCGATCATATTTGCCTATCACCACCAATAACTTCTCTTAACTCCACTTCCGTTTATGTATTCACACTCTAAAGGTAAGTTACAGTACAGTAAGACTGTGGTGCTTGTTGACATAATTCCTCCATGGAACTAATCGTTGCGGGGTGCATTCGGGAAGGAGTGGTTTGTGTGTGGTGGACTTCCAGTTGACTGCGTGTTTTTGGCCATCAAAAGGAGTAAAGTATTTATTGAGACACGTCCGGTGTCTCCTTTTCTTTGGCACCTCACGACAGGTTTTTTTTTGTGTAATGACCTCAAATGGCAATTATAGATTGGAAATGCATGTGTCTCAACTTAAGAACAATTCATCTTGTGAACAACTTCTTGGAACCTACTGCATTCATAAACTGTGAACCCCCCGTACTTCATTTCTTTACCTCAGTCACAGCCTCTAATGATGCTGCGTGTTTGAGCAGAAGATCCATCACGCGCATGTGGTTCTTTTTACAAGCAATATGCAAAGGAGTAAAGCCGTTCTGAAAATAGGAAAATAATTTATCTTCAGTACATAATGTGCATACATTTTTAGCTGGAAAAGTTCAATTCAAACGACCTCACCAGACACTTCTTTAAGTTTACGCTACAATAATAATTTTCAAAGGAGACAAGGACACTACGACGACACTGTATGACATACATTGCAAGGGCAATTCTTGCAATGATCCTTTACAGAACTAATGCTCTGCTTTAATAAGCAAGAATTAATTCAATGATGTGTTTGCAGATTCCTGATGTGGTTAAAGTTTTCAGAAGTAAAGCATTGCAGAACTTCTTATGAGCTCACCACCTATGGGAGGTGGCCAATGAGGTTGGATGCTTTGAGGGCTGGGTGCCAGCCGAATTCGGGAGCCTTGGGCGCTGCAGTGTCAAGCTACATAAATTGGCTGTCGGGACGTAGAATGTTGCCTCTCTGGCAGGGAGCAGCACACACTGGTGTGTGAGGTTGAGAAGTTCTCATTGAATGTCATCGGGCTTACCTCCGGCTCATCAGATTTAGGAGAAACGGTGTTGATTTCATCCTGGCTGTGTAACAGGGGATCAGCTCTACACAATCCACAGATGCATGGGGGTTCACCCAACCAGTCTACATGTGTTTTGTGGACTTGGAAAAATCATTCGATCTAATCCCCTAAGAAGATCTATGGTGGTTGCTTCGAGAGTATCGTACATGGGTAACCTGATACAGGCTGGTCAACCCCTGTAATGACTCGTGTCAGAGTTTAGAGCTCTAAGTCGGATTTGTTTCCAGTGTTGGATGGACTCCACTATGGCTGCTCTTCGATTCTGCTCATAACCTTTGTGGATAGATTTCTAGGCGGAGACATGATGTTGAGGAGGTCCGGTTTGGTGACCACATCCCTGCTTTATGCAGATGATCTGCTACTGTTGGCTTCATCAAGCCGTAATCTCTCACTGGACCAGTTCACAGCTGGGTGTGAAACAGTTGAGATGAAAATCAGCACCTCCAAATCTGATACGATGCTACTCAGTTGGAAAAGGCTGGGGTGCTCTCTCCGGGTCGGGAACGAAATTGTGCCTCGATTGGAGGATTTCAAGTACATTGGGGTATTTTTCATGATTGAAAGAGGAATGGAGCGGAAGATAGATAGACCGCTCAGTTCAGCGTCAGCAGTAATGCAGACTCTGTATTGATCTGTCATGGTGAAGAAGGAGCCCAGCCAAAAGACAAAGCTGTTGATTTACTAATATATCTACGTTCCTACTCTCACCTATGGTCACAAGCTTTGGGTCTTGACCGAAAGAGCAAGATGGCGCATACAAGCAGCCGAAATGAGTTTCCTCATGAGGGAGACCCGGTTATCCGTTAGAGAAAGGCTGAGAAGCTTCGTCATTCAGGTGGAGGAGCCAGGAGAGGTGGCTCGGGCATCTTGTTAGGATGCCTCCTAGATGACTTTCTGGTGAGTTGGTATGGACGCGTCCTACTGAGAGGAGGCCCCAGGAAGACTCTGAATACGTGAGAGACTATGTCACCCAGTTGACCTGCGAACACCTGAGGATTTCCCCAGAAAACTTGGACAAAGAAGCTGGGGAGATGGAAGTCTGGGCTTCTTTGCTTAAGCTGCTGCCTCTGTGTCCAGATCCCGGATAAGATGAAGAGAATGGATGAATGAAAAACTGCAGTAAACTAAGAGGCGTTTATAATGTTTAGCTTATTTTAGTGCTCGTAGGCTAACTGAAATATTAAAAACACTTCGTGTGTGATACAGTGCAGTTCTACACAAAATAAACTTTTTAACACTTTGTAAAAGCAGATCTCTTACAGCTCATGTCATGGATCTCATTCGATTGAGCAGGTCTACCTGAAGCTAAGTATATAGTGTGGTAACAGGTTTAAAAGTCACTGACCAGTGCCCGAGAGTTGGGTTTGGCCCCCTTGTCAAGCAGAACTTTTGCCATTCGGTGGTGTCCACAGTGTGCGGCCACATGTAGAGGTGTTAGGTGGTCCAACGTGATGTCATCAATGTCTGCGTTGTACTGCAGAAGCTGCTTGACGCAGTCTGCATGGTCCCCTTGTGCTGACATGTGGATTGGAGAAAGGCCATTCTGGGAAAAAAAGAAATGTTGACATTCAAGTACCTTGAAAAACTGCAGATATATATGATATTATATACTATGAAAAATTATTGTCAGTATTAGTTTTAGTTTGCTTGAGAAAAAAGGTTCTTGACTCAAAATGGATTACCTTGGTCTTGGCCTGGATGGGGGCCCCATTGTCAAGCAGAATTTCTATTATTCTGACGTGACCATTTCTAGCTGCACAGTGCAGAGGAGTGAGCTCATCCTGGTGAGAGACAGTATCTTTTAGTGGCAGTGAAAAGCACGGAGTGAATCCAAGACTGTGATAAGATGCTGCACCTTGGTCTTGGCATCTATTTGTGCCCCTCTATCCAGGAGGAGTCGGACCATGATCACATTCCCCCGTCTGGATGCGATGTGCAGAGGTGTAATGCCGTTCTATATAGATATATAGACGCAATTAGATCCACACGCGAAATTAGTGGAAAAAAAGAAATCACACGAGCATACAATGTTCCCCCGCTATATGCTGATACATCATTCGCACACCTGCTGTATCATAATTTAAAAAAACAAAACTATTTTTTTACAGTCAAGTCCAAATTTAGAGCTGTGCGCCTTTCATGTAGTGCGGAATGTTGTGCGGAAACATGCCGGGTAGCACTGAGATCGACTGTCAGAGATGCAGCAAATGAAGAATAGCAAACAGAAGAGGCAGAAAAGGTCCCCAAGCTCCAAACTCCAGTAATGGTTGTTGTTCCTACAGAACATGGACAATATATATACCTGTGAGTATTGCTGTATGCTCTTTTTGAATATGTTGCTGTTTCCTTGTTTGCTTTGAAAGTGTATCATTACTGTCATCTATTTTCGTTAGCCTGTGGCATTTTGAGTTATATGTTAGCATGAAGCTAGTAGGCTTTTTGTCGAAATCGATTTGTTGAACATTTCGGCGTTTCAACATCCAATGCTTTATTCTTGCTTGTTTTATGGGTCCGTTTTGAACTTCAAATAGGAGCTTGAATGAGGTAGCCTTTGCCTCATATTTGGAGAACTGGAAGTGAGCGCAGGAGAAGAAGCACTAAGATTCACAGCACTTTAAAAAACAGGTTTTAACAAGTTTAAGTGTGTTTTATTAAGTTTCAGTGTTTTTAAAGGTGTTTAAAGCTTCTGAGAGGATAAAAAATATACATATAGGTGTCTACAGTGCAGATTTTCACCTATTATGGTTAGGTCGGGCATGTATCTCCCACTATAAATTGGGGTTCACTCTATAGTAATTCCATACCTTTGGGGTGAAATTAACATTGGCTCCTCTGTTGAGAAGAAGTTGGGCAACGTTCAAGTTTTCATAATGTGCAGCAATGTGGAGGGGTGTGAATCCAGTCTGCAAGGACAACAAAGTGGTACCTAAGTGTCACTCATTCAATGGATGATCATAACTCCAACAGCATCACGTACCTTGCTGAGCACATCAGGGTTTGGGTCATTCTGCAGAAGCACTGCAGCCGTGCGTGTATCGTCATTGCGTGCTGCAATGTGCAGCGCAGGGAGGCGGACCTTCCCCTTGGTGCCGTAGTTGATGAGCAGCGCTACAATATTTTCATGGCCCTGTTGTAGAGCCACAGCCAGAGGAGTGAATCCATCCTGTAGAAGACGGCAGAAACTCAGAAGGCAGGTTGATTGCACACAGACAATTAGAGCAATGTCAGCGGTGAAGGCTGATGAGCACACAACACGATGGTTTGACAACGAGTCAGGATCAGCAGGATATCATCGAGCAGATTTGTTGGATGACTGATTGAACACGTCTCTTGCTCTTTGGTACCTCAGTTGGAACGCTCTGATTAGCCCCGTTCTCCAGAAGAAACTTCACAACCTCTAGATGGTTTTCTTGTGCAGCCATGTAGAGTGGAGTGAAACCCTTCTGTCTCAGAAATAAACACACACACACGCACGCACGCACACACAGCAGAGATGCCAAAAGCGACGAGATAGATAGTTACACATACACATAACAAGGATGCACACCGATACTCACAAATATAGAAGCAAAGACACATGTGAACATCGGCATTGTCAGTACAATACAATGGTTTCACAGTAGGCGCCGGATAGAAAAGCAGCTGAGAGAGAGAGAGAGAGAGAGACAGAGAGAGAGAGAGCACACAGCATGGGGGGCCTCACCTGCGACTGAGCATTGACATTGGCACCGTAGTTAACCAGCTCTGTGACCACCTGCTCCTGTCCCGCCAGGGCAGCAATGTGCAGGGCCGTGTTTCCTTTCTGGGTAAACACCGATACGCGGGAACAAAAGTACACAGTTACGGTGACAAATGGTGCTGAACATGTTTGAACAGTTTCGTCATTCTGTATGCTAATATCATATAGTGGACGTGGAGATAAATATTCTGACGTGTAATGATCCGGGACCCCCCGACTCTCGTGAGGATAAGCGGCTTGGAAAATGGGTGGATGGATGAATGATTGGGGATCACTGGAAATTTTGTTGTTTGTCGTTTTCAATTGTCTTCTTTCAAGAAACGACTGATTCAATGCGCAAAAGTATTCAGCATCAAAGGCAACTAATATACCGTCTGATTGTTTGAGTGGCCATAACTCCGTCTGCAACTCAACTCACTTTATTTATAGAGCGCTTTAAAACAAGCAAGGCTGCATCCAAAGTGCTGTAGATAAAGTAAAACTCAGATTTATAAAAACAAAGACGGTTAAAACACTAAATGAATAACATAAAAACAGTAAACACAATAAAACACAAAAACAATGTTGATTCTCATGCAAATGTACTTTCAGTTTAAAGATGAACAGAAAGGAAAAACAAAAAAAGAAGAAAAAAGAGAAAAAGAAAATGGCTGCTGGCGAGACAACAGTTTGCTTCCTGAACATCTACTTGTTTTATTTAACTAAGAATATTGATTAACATTGCTGCACAATCACTCCGCATTTGCATTTCATCAACAGTTTTGGTAAAAATGTCATTGGTGCGGACAGACTGCTGCTCGGCGAGTTACCTTTGTTGTCGTCTCCAGTGCAATTCCATTGTGAAGTAACTCCAGCACCATTTTGACATGGCCTTCTTTTGAGGCCAGATGAAGCCCATTGAGCCCATTCTGAGGGGGAAAATCATTTTATAGGCAAGATTTACACAATGATTCCCGAATCAATAAAGCATAGTGCCACTGAGTTAACCAGACAGGCACACGGAGTATGTAGACCATGCATGATAAAGATTTAGTTTGTTGACACAGAAGCCAAAACACGCACAAACCAGACCAGGCCATAACTGACACAGTGCACCACAGATCATTCCCAAAAATAAAGTCTACAAAGATGAAAATGAGAATGAAACCATTTTCATTGGATTAATGATAATGACAGCAGAAGAAACGAACGGCGGCAGAGGAGGAGGACTGGAGCGAGATGGCAGGCCGTTGGTCTCGTGGCTGGGAAGAATACAAGCCGTGTGGGATAGGTCTGACCTCACACAGCCTTCATTCAGCCGCACAGGACATGTGAGGTTGGACCTTTCCCACACCACTGATATTATTCCTCTGAGTGGAGAGACCACAGCAGACCATCACTCTACGGCAAATGCAGGAGAGGGGTGTGACAAGGAAGGAAAATGCAAAATAACGAGGGAGAATTAAAACAGCACACTAATACCGAGGGGGAGGCTGTTGTTGGGTTGAGAGATAAAGGAAAACAGACTGAAGCAGTGTGCCGGTGAGCAAGCCATTCTAAAGACACCAACATCACCATCGCCATAGTAAAGAGGCACCCTCACTCCAACTCCCACCCCATTGGACCAAAATATTAAGCGAGCGTAAGTCACACGGGCAGGATGGCAATGCATCATGTTCAAGTCACAACCAGCAGTGCCGGTCAATTTGTATCATTGACATCTGGGGCTTTATTTTAGAAGACAGCGTGCGTGTGCGCTGCATAAAAAGTGGCACATCTTGATTTTCTTGCCTGGTGTGGCTCCTATTGTGCAACTTGTCCTTTCTCTGCCGTGAGTACGCGCACTCATGCAGAGAAAGGCGGAATAGCGAGGGAACAGGAGGTGAGGGGTTTGTTTAAAAGGCCAACTTGACAGCCAGCGTGTGGACCGGGGCTTCGGGATGGCAATGCCGCTTTAGAGCACCCTCTTGTCGGCCTTGAGTCACAGAGAAACATTTTTGAACAATGTCTTCACACTGGTATGGCCACTGTAGAGCGCCTCGTTGTCACGACGTGGGGGGGGGGGGGAATAGTCTCCAGAGGTTTCCAGCAGATATATTTGTTTTGTTACGTTTGTCGTTCAAACTTGTAAGTTATGTGCAGGCATAAGAAAGATGCTAGGCAAAGTAGCATCCATTTTTCCAGGTCGAAGAACTGATCATTGATTGACAGTTGACAGAGGAACAGGGCGTGACTTCAGCGCTTTCAGTGGACACGCCCATAGTGCCTAAAAGAGCGTAGCGATTTTCACAATTTTGAAGCCTCCTTTTAAATACTTGGGGATCTAACGGGGTTGTTCAGAACACTCTTCTCTGTTGTTGAGTACATTTACAATCAATTTTCACTTTACAGGGACCTCAAGCCACTGAGAAAAAAGTAAGTAAGATTCACAGACTTTTAAATTACAATTTCAGAATGAATAGTTTTGTCTAAAGGCAGTTTGGAAATTTTAACTACCGGTACTTTAAAGTCTCTCCTCATTGCGTGTCTTGTCACGAGAGGTCTGTGTTGTTGAGGTCCACATAAAGAATGACATGATGTTGAGGACAAAGTGACAAAGTGACTGTACTCATGCTTGTGGTCACGTTACAAGTGCTTGAGGGCAGCAGTCGGAGGCCCATTACCATGGAGAACAAGCACCAGATAAAAGGATGCAGGATGAAAGAGGTGGTGCAAAGAAGACACCATTTGCCCATTTATTACCTGCCCTGGAGGGCTGAGCATGCATATACAGTACATGGCAGAGTCCAAAGGCACAAACAACTATAATATTACTTGGATTACTGCACACATCATGCACACCTATGATTTAAATCCAAAGTACAGAGCATCTGGAGGCGACCGAGACAACAGTCCATAGGGTCACATTTTCTAGGTCATTTCTCTTCGCGTTTGAAAGAGATCGTATCCATCCAGGGAGCTGTTTCATTTGCGATGAAATCTCATTATGATCACATCTCGAAAATGGAGCTCTCACAACTCCCTCACCTGATTGGCGGTATTGATATCAATGCCATTTTTGATGTGTTCCAGAGCCTTGTCCAGGTTGCCAGAACGGGCCGCACGGAGAAAACTGTTGCCAGCATCTGCCTGCAAACACAGCGGACAAAAGGAAAGGAGGGAGGGATAAGGGGTAAAGTAAAGGACACACAAAGAAGAGGAATAAAGAGGAAAATAGAGAGAGACAGTTGGGTTAAGCATAAGGACTGTTCAAAATGACCCATCAGCTTTCCACTCATTTCACTCCTCGCTTGAGATCATTTGTTCTTTTGGTAGTGAATTTTAAAGCCACCAGCACTTAGAAAGAAGTGTACTGAATGCTGTGATATCTGTTACGGGTGACCTAAAGCCATGATTTCATCAAGCAGGATAGTCCAATGGAAGTTTACTGGAAAGGCGAACGAATGTTGTTGTAACTAGGCTCGCATTTTGTCATCTTTTCATCGTGGCATGTGGTGAAGTCTTCGCTCTGTTTGGGTTCTTCCTGTTCAACACAGTTTGTCAGACTGTTGTACATCATATATCACCATGGTTGGGACACCAGACAAAAAGTGTCAAAATGTTGAATCCAAATTTTAGAAAACAAAACACAAACAAAAACAAAAAAACTGAGTGCCATCCCAAAACAAGGAAAACTAAAGTTTAAGGTAACAGGTACCGCTCGCTTCTCATTTGTGACGCTTCCACATAAAAATCTAGTCACTCGATTTAAGTAAAAAGGCAAATGCGACATTTGAATGCCATTGTCTGTTCAAGCAACACCAAGTCATAGTGAACTGGGTGGCAAAATATACATTGGCGACGTAGCCCTTCTTATCATGCACGTTTTGTTTGTGCGCACTAGTTTCATGCCACTCCTGGGCAGGTGGGGGCGCTGCTGAAACATGATCACTCATGCAGTACTGAAAGGAGGAAAAGTAAGAAAGGGCAGAACATGACTGCAGCACACTCTGCACCCTCTCATCTCATTTCGCCGGGGCGCACCATACTCTTCCTTACATCTAACTATCTATCGATCTATCTAAACACACTGGTCAGTAAAACTATAAATTCAGCAATGCATTCATTTGGACAGCACAACACTTAATGCTACATCACAAACACACCGCTGAAGCGGATTTTTTTTTTTTTCTGCTCCCCTTTCAACTTTGTACCACGTTGCCTTAAGCTGTGTCGTTTATTGTTGCAGTTCGTTGGTCCTCTTTTGACAAGAGGCAGTGAGCTTGAGTAAGGAAAAAAAAGTAGTGAAAGGATCCACATGCCTGCAGCAGAGGCATAGCAACAAACGACACAGCATAGCCTCAGCATGACTCTAATGGCAAAGCACTGTGCAAAGACAGAGGTCACTTTAAAAAAAAAAGGTTGGAGTGATCGCACTCGAAAGAGAAACTCGAAAAGCAAAAGCTGCTTCCAGCTAAAACACTTCCCGGATTAATTGCATGCACAATGCACTCCTTGTTCCTGACAAAATATATACCAACACTTTCTCTTGTTGGGTAGTTCAAAATAAAGCATTTAGAGCGACATAAATCGTGGTGCTTTGTGTGAGCACGCTGACCCTGCTGAGCCACTTTCCTGAGTCAGTCACTCTGACAAATTCTCACTCATTCCAAATTGGAGCAGCTACTAGGATTAGGGAGAAAAAAAAAAGAAAATGTGAATTGAAAGTCTATTTTAGTAAAACATTCTGGTTTATTATTTCTGGATTGGTTGAGCGAGCGCATGTCTCTGCATTACTTACACAGTTGCCGAGTTGAGTACGCCTCCGATCTGAATGGACTCTCTTATTCCATTCTATTGGGAGATGATAACCCAACATCTGACTCGCACACATACACGCCATCCATCAATATTGTGACCCGACTGCAGCTCGACTTGCGATCACAAGAAACAACCATAGTTGTCTCTTGAATCACAGTTATTGCATAGAGAGTATGATGCATAACTCACAGAAACTGGTAAAAACAAGCAGGTGGAAAGTTAACCCATTTTGCATGAGGCCAAATGAAGGGCAAGCATTTTACACTCTGTCAGCAAGTAAAACTGTTTTGTAAATATGTTACTCAATGCAAAACTGTTCTAAGATATAAAATGCACCAAGGACAACAGGCTGGCATGCTGTTGCATGAAATGTTTTTAAAGTGCCATGGTGACACCCCAAACATCCTGTCATCACTGTGGGAGCAAACACAGCTGATGCAGGCCCACATCCACCATGGTGACACCTTAGGAACCCCCCCCAATACAAGGGCTCAGGCAACAGCTTGCCCACAGAGCTGAATGTTAATATCGCGGGAATGACAAACACACTTTCTCACCTAAGTGAAGCATTTTTGTGTTTGTGTCTATCTGCGTGCGTCATGAAATGTCTGTGCACCGAGATAAGGATGGATGAACTCCACCCATTCCTTGACTCAGAAATAAACAGACGCATGCAGAGAAACACCCTTAGCTTTTGGGGGGGGGCAAAGTTGCTTACGTTACATTGGCTGGGACGCCATGGCATAATTTAGACAAATGTGTTGCTCCCTGATTATTCCCAGGGAAAGGACACGCTTCACACTCTTGGGCTGAACAAAGCTGCGTGAGCCAATTTATCATTCTATTTGTAGGAAAAGAAACAAGATAAAACACCCTGCTTCACAGCTCCACCATAAACAAGAGCAACATTGCAATTGTGCATGGTTGAGTAACACTAATGAAGACGTGCTTGGCGTAAGAGAATGCAAAATTACATTCTTTAACTCACAGTGGAGGCCAAAATTCGCCTTACCAAAAATCGCCATCTATGACAAACCCCCCACTACCTTGTTTCTGTTCTGCTGGTGCTGCAGCAGTCAGAATGACATCACCCCCTCGCTGGTAGACTGCAGTGTCTAAAAGCTCAGAGTTTGTGTGCATGTGTGTGCGAGACCAACATCCTTGCCTTCCTCTGAAGGATCCCCATTTGGACAAAGGCTTAATTGTGTTGGTGAGAGTAAACAGAGAAGCAGCAAGTCAATTATACTGGATAATAGAATCAAAATTTGCAGAATGCAGATCCCATGTAATTGTAGACATTTGGATTCGAGAAGACAACAGAGGGGTTTTCATTGGGCCGCGGGTGCTTCGTATAATCACATTTCTCACTTGTTTATGCCGTTTATTCAGAATAGAAAACATTCTGCTATGATGAGAGGACCAAAGTGGCACAAGAGTGGCAACAAGGAACTTGTCCTGCCAGATCTTTCCGTTCTATGCCTTTCATGAGGATTTTCATGCTGACACATTTGAAGGCAATCTTTCTAAACTATCAAAACAGTCAACCATTATTTTCAGTTGAGTGAATAGTTATTGATCATATTTGAAGTAAATCAGGGGGGAAATTGCTCCACCTAAAGCTGCTGTACTGGATGGTACAAGTAATGTAGTACGTGTTCTGATACCTTTCACCGTCTATTAACAGCTTGACTCATCCAGGAGCCTGACAGTTTAATCCACATCTCTTTTCTCGCAGTCTGAACATGTTGGCCTCAGGAAGGGAAATCAAGATAGGGATTAAACTAGGACCTTGTTAGCAGTGCAAGGGAGCTCAATCCTGTAGCTCTTCCATAGAATGCCAATGAAAGAATATCACTGCCAAACATCCGGGATTTGGATACGATTTCAGTGAACCGCAGCAGTCTAGCAAAAAAAAAAAAAAAAGCACACTCTCGCTTTCTGTTTAATTGATTTCACCCTTCAGGTTTGCTGTAAGAGCACCAAGACCAAATCATACATCTTTGAAATCTTACCACTATTGTGTGTTCATCTCGGGGAAAAGCCTGTTCAGTAAATTATGAACAATTTAACCCATTCAGGGACAGCGGCTACTGCAGTGGACAACTTATCATGCTATCAGGTTACAGTGTTAAATGTGCACAAATTGCGCTGCAAAAGAGAGTGGGATCGGAGTGTTTTTATACAATTTACGGGAACATGGATCAGCGGATATGGAAATTCCTGCAGAGTACTTAAACAGCAATTTCATCATCCTTTTCTGCTGACTTGCATTTACTCAATAAATTGATTTCCTTTCTTGGGGCCTTTTCCCCTTTAGCCTCAACATCCCGGCTTTCGTCTCTCAGGCTGATCCATGGAGATTGAGCAGGCAGCGAGCTGGTTCCGGATACAGAGATGTAGTAAGTGTTGACTCAATGGGATGGAGGCCCGTGAGACTGCTCTGCATCGGGCACATTTACAGGAAGCGAGCGAGCACTCCTTTGAAGCTGTTAAAATGTTTCACTCATCACGTCTGTCTGTATGGGGATCACAACACATCATCTCCATCTTTACTATTTACTTTTTCACACAGCATGTCTCCCCTTTGCCTTGCTTATTGATCAGCTTGTTATATGTCTCCCTGCTTCTTCATCCACTGTGCTTATAGACGAGCTGTCAAGGTCATTGTCAATCTCTTTAAAAAGATGACCATGAGGGTTAAAGCCATAGTGGTAGGAGCTCATAAACACCCGATATGGTAAACACCATGTGCACAGTAGCTGTCATTAGGTACACATCATTATCTTATAATGGCCAGACGACTGATCGGCAACCTGACAGCTTTGAGCTGCCAAGTTTGTATCATTAGTGGGAATAAACAAAATCTATCAGTTTGCACTTGCCAATAGCAAAAGCCAGTGAAGTAAATTACAGTTATCACACGAAACTTTTCTCAATAGATCATCAAAGCATGATGAATAAGGCCAGAATGTATCTACGTCCTGTATGCCATCTTAGTGGATATTTGGGACAGAAAGATATGTTTGGAATCTTTTAATTCGACATTGTGTCAACTAGTGCTGTTCCACAAATGTTGAAATGAATCTACTTGTTGATGACTCACTCTGATGTATTAATAGAACTAAATCAGATGGCAATGGAATGACTAAACATTTTAGGACAATCAAGTTCCACAGTGGAAATTGGCTGCAATTTCTTTTCAGACCTGCGAAGAACAAAACTCTCCAAACGCTTGGCTGTTTGCGGTTGCGTGTCTCTGGTGGTTCTTTGGATGCTTAAGTCCATGAAGTGTTCAGTAAAGTTACTTTGAATGGATTTCATTAATTGACCAGCTCATCAGTTGCTGACCTCTAGTTTACTTACCCGGCTAATCCTCGTTGACAAAATACAATGGGAACATTAAACAGAGGAATGAGTGAAGTCAAAAACAAGATTAAGCGTAACACAACACACACACACTCATACATACACTAATCTTGGATGCACACGCAACAAACTTGCATAGATAATCCCGAGCAATCAAGCTCCCACCCATTTTGCAAAAATGGGCCTCATTTCAATAACTTTTATCAAAAAAAAAACTCTTTTCAAAGTGAGCGCTGAACAAACAACTTGGCTCATGTGCTTTTAACAACTCCGATGTTGGGTTAGGCAGTGACTGAAAGTAAAAGAAAGTGCCAGGTCAAACTCTTACCTCGCTGGTAGGGTTTTTACATGCTTTCTGAGTGCGTTGCTCAATCTATCACGCTTTTTGGGGCCGTGTCAGACAGAACAAGATAAATTAAGGATGGGAAACATTTAGGGGTAAAGGTAGGAGCAGTCTTTTCAATGGTAGACACAAGCAAACATGAATGTATATTAATAGTGTAATGTAATATAATTGACAATGAAGTTGACTTGAACTTGAACTTGAATAGTTGGTGGATAGAGTCACTTCAAGCTGAGAGCCCGACACTTAACAAAAGTAGGAATACTGTCCTGAGACAATCTGAGAAAATGTTTTGATGACCATAGTAATAAAAATGTGCTTTTAACAACTCCGATGTTGGGTTAGGCAGTGACTGAAAGTAAAAGAAAGTGCCAGGTCAAACTCTTACCTCGCTGGTAGGGTTTTTACATGCTTTCTGAGTGCGTTGCTCAATCTATCACGCTTTTTGGGGCCGTGTCAGACAGAACAAGATAAATTAAGGATGGGAAACATTTAGGGGTAAAGGTAGGAGCAGTCTTTTCAATGGTAGACACAAGCAAACATGAATGTATATTAATAGTGTAATGTAATATAATTGACAATGAAGTTGACTTGAACTTGAACTTGAATAGTTGGTGGATAGAGTCACTTCAAGCTGAGAGCCCGACACTTAACAAAAGTAGGAATACTGTCCTGAGACAATCTGAGAAAATGTTTTGATGACCATAGTAATAAAAATGGCCCAGAGAGAGAGAGACATTACATTGCAAAAGAGGAGAAGAAAAACGTTTGCAGTACTCACTCCGAAAGTGATGCTCTTGATTGGCATGCCTGTTGGCGCTCCACTGCCTTTTTTTTTTTTTTACGTTCTGTTTCTCCCAAATTGAAAGATGTCTTTCCAATTGCGCCTTGCAAGCGCCACCACGCAAGGCACGCCGAGCCCCGTCCGACGTAAACACGGGCATACACACCCACACAGGCGCACACACTTCAGTAAGCTGGATCCGGCTTGGTGGGTGGAGAGACAGGGGGAGGGTGGGGTGAGGGGGCCCGGGGTTTTTATCTCTACAGGAATGTTGCCTGTATCTAAAGACACACATTTTACTAGCAACCAAAAACCAATGGGCGCCCCAAACTCTCAGCAAGAATCTCCTACCTACTGTACATCCTTGATGGTAAATGTTTCTGTTTTGCCCAAAGAGAGTTCTGTCCAGCTTTGCACCTTTGAGGCCTAACCTTGCCATCCTCCATCCTCATGCTCCAGGCTCTGCTCTGCTCTCTACCTCACATACTCTCCACCATTCAAGATTTAGTTGCACTGGCACCTCCACTTTATCCCTCCTTTCTCTTGTCCTGTCTCCCCGACATGTCACGCCCATCTCTGCATCTCCTGTATGTTTAGTGACAGCCGCACAATCATTTGTTCACGGACCATAAATAGACCAAAATAGAGTTACTGTGGAAATGCGAGGGGGTTGCAGATCTGTTTCAGTTTGTGAGGTGACTTACAGTGACAAAGCGCTTGGCGAGGGGGTTGCTGCCACCACCCCATGACAATGGGCCAGACACTCAGCTTGGGGGGGGGGGGGGCATAAAGGGGCCAGCCCCTCAAAAGGCCCTGCCTCCTTTAATAAAGCGTCCGTCATTCCTCAGTTGAAAAGGCCCTCTTTTCTCTACCTCTCCCTCCTCTCTGCCTCTCCTGGCTAAATGCTGGGAAAAGCACAACACTGCCAAAACCATGCAGAGAGATAAATGCTGTAGGAGAGGGACCAAGAGGGGGGGGTTATGTAGAAAGAAGGCGACATACAACTCAGTCGCACTGAACCATAACCTGGGCAAAAACACTATATGGGCTCTCTCTACTGTCCACACGAAAAGCAATGAGCGCTACACTGCCAAATAGTGCGTGTCCCAAGAAGACACACTTTAATAGAGTATCAATAAAGACTTGACAAATTGTCCTGTCTCCCTTGGCTATTAAAGGCCTGGAATTCTCTGAAATAAACCTCCACTGTCTCTATTTAGGAGAGGACAATATAGTACATCTGAGAAAAAGAACGATATCTTATCACCAATGTGTGAACAGGCTCTCTAATATGTAGCTAAGGAAACTCTTTTGGGAAAGTTGACATCAATCATGGCACACTACTTTTTGGTAGCAGAGTTGATTTAGATTCGGGTCGGACGTGCCCTCTGCACCCGATGTCAGGACCGCCTTGTCGACAGGATAAAGGGCTTCAGTTGTCCACGTGTGCTGCTTTTAGTGAGGTGCCGGATGAGCTAAGGGAAGAATCAACACAAATAATGGCCTGGAGTCAGCCTCCACTTGTCTCACTCCTTTTGCTTGATATGGCACTGCTGCCAACAGGATCTCTTAGATATTACTGGATTTGATCAAGGGTCCAAATATCCATCCATCCATTATTCGTACCACTTATCCTAATTCTGTAAAATATATCTGATGCAAACAAGTGTTCACTTTTCTGATTTGGCTCACTTCAATTTCGTTCACCAAAAAACTACTGGGCTGTCACATTTGGAAAAGCCTTGGGGTGCCAGACTGTGATGTCTAATGAATCAACACTCGCTCCATTTGTCTTGATGGCATGCAGGTGTCAGTGAGAGAGTCTGCAGCAAATCGACGGCCGCAGCAGTTTCAAATACTGTGCACGTATGCACACACACATCCAACAATAAGCCTGCTAGAGATCGAAAAAGAAAGGATAAAAAGGGGAATGTAAGTTAGAGCAGATCATTATGCACATTAAATGACAAAGGATATTGAAAGCCTCGCATGAATTTTTAAAGCCCTGTCGGAGACAATTCAAGGTATTAGAAACACAGGATTACACCACATATGAATGAAGCCAATAGAAAGAAAGATGGCATGAGATGGGTCATCGCTGGTCCAGGTTTCCATTCATCTTCCTAAGTAGACAGGTGGAGATAGTGTATGTGAGCGACGCGAAAAGAAAAGCTCTTTTGGGAAGGGAATGTGTTCTTCACAAGTCTTTTGATACTGAGCACCATCTGCAAACTTACGAGTTTCGAACCACTGGAGATGAGTCAGGATCAGGCAGCAGCTGCTCACACAGACCACATTTTCTTATCAGTCTGGTTTGTCAAGAAGCCCACCTAGGAATACCTTTTAATAAGAGACGATGCACCATAAGCCTGTGGGAACTTGCTGGTCATCCACTTCCATGTGAAATGAAGAATGATGCTCGATTGAGACAATTCACTGTGTTGGTGATTCACAGTGCAGTCTGATACATTTTCATATAAGAATGGTGAATGACAGTGATGGCAATACTGGACAAGTATTTCTTGATTGAAAACAGTTGGATATGTACTGTATCAAGTTCAGGCCACTTCCTATAGGTTTATTTTTAGGACTCTCACATGAGTAAATAATGTTGGAATTTGTTTGAGTCGAAGAAATGTGGGTCCATTTTGATAAACGTAACTTCAACCATGAAACTAGAAATAAATTATAACAGTCGCTGTTATGAATGAATAATGTGTGTGTGTGTGTGTGTGTGTGTGTGTGTGTGTGTGTGTGTGTGTGTGTGTGTGCGCGTGTTTGTGTGTGTGTCACTATATGGGCTACTATTGCTCAGGTTCATGAATGACAGTTTTTGGCAAAACGTAATCCCGAAATGACACCGGATATCCATTCAATCAGCCCCAGTCACGGCTTGTTCAAAACATGCCGTGAAGATAAAGGATGGCCACCAGAACAGACAATTTCAGGAAAAACAGCGGACATTATGTTTGTTTTTTGTTTTGTTAAGTACAGGAGCATCTGTTATTAGAGCTGAAAAATAATTATGAGCAGTTCACTCAATGCAGGTTTCGCGTTATTAATTTCGGAACAGCGTCAGCGAATGCGTGGAGTAAGCGAAAGGGGCTGCTCTACTCTGCGTGCCCTGACCCACAGCATGCTGGCCACAGCGTGGCTAAACAGAAGACTGAGGATCAGGTATGAACTTGAACATTCACTGCGGGCATTCACTGGTGGCTTGTTAATCTGGAAAAGGCGCAGGTATCCTATAGCTGGTGCAAATTGGCTGTGGCTGTTGAATACACCGTAAGATTCAGCACCTACGCAATCGACTGGTCAGATACGTAGCAAACCGTCGATTTTGGGAACCATTCCACCCCGAGTCTAAATAAATTCCCATGTCATGTACATGTGTTGGCTTCCATTTAAATAGTACACTGTATATGCCTACTTCTGGAGGAAAATGCTTAGCTGCCTTAATATGAGCTTGACATAGAAACAAACAAGAAAAATAAGCTACATTCTAATCGTAGCAAGTACGTGTAAAACCTAAAATTAATTTGAATATAAGAACTAAGCTAACTGCATTGGAATGCAGTACTTACAGTAAATGCTGTCTCACACAAACATACACATTCGAAATTGCACACTTTCATGACCCTAAATCTCTCTCTCACACACACACACACACACACACACACACACACACACACACACACACACACACACACACACCTCGAGTAAATTCATGCAGTTATAAAATACAGACATAAACCATGTTGACATAATGCAGCAATTAGCAATCATCCAAATGCATACAAGGCTTATATTTCAGGCAGCGTACTTAAATTAAATAAAATTGCTTTTGAATAACTGTGCAATTGGGGTATGATTACAAGTGATGTACATTAATTGGGCTACGCTCACTCCTCATGAATAATATTTGGGTACGGTGTAGTATACCCATTTCAAACTGCTATAAGGCAGCAGTTAGGTTCAAACTGTTGCCTTACAGCAAAGAAGTTGAGGGGTTCAAATCTCAAATTGCATATTTGTGTGATTTAGTGATGTCCTCCCTGTGCTTCTGTGGGTTTTCACTCCATGTTTAAGTTGTACCCCAGGTCAAGAGGGACACACTCCAGCCATCCTATGGCTTCCCATGAGAGAAAACAGACTGCTATAAATTAACCTAAAATTAAAGGGCCCAACAAGCCATATGCCATGAACAAAGAATCGGTTCTCATTTATAAATAAATATTTATTACTGATGGTAATGTTGAAATCTAATCACCTATTTAATTTTTGAAAACAGAAAACAAAAGTCAAAGGTTGTAAAATGTGGACATGGAACAGAATTTTCATAAAGTTGCCTAGAATTCTGTCAATGCTTTGTTACCATGACGCGCGACAGTTTCATGAACATCAAACTCTGGGCTCACTCTTTTGCCTTTTCTTTGCCGTTTGTGACACTATTTTAAAAAAATATGGACTGTTGAGCCGTATGACATGATTACATGACCTAAGACTCTTGACATTAGCAAAAGTTGATAGAGATATCCCGGTCGGATCACGTACACGGAATTTTTGTATGATCACGCGGTTTGTAGTTGAGCGGGCATCGGGGCAAAATGATTGCTTTTCTTCATTTTCAGAACCTGTATAGGTCACAGAGGGACCAAATAAACCAAAGCTATAAAGATCTTGTCAAATGGAGCAGTAATATCTTTGTTTTATGTTCGGCAATGTTTAGTTTTGTTTTTCTGGCAGCGGTCAGAGTGGCAGTAAGAGCCACACACGCATACAAAGAGGCTCTGCCTGCGCGCAGTGCTCGCCCTCCGTGCCGCAGCAGAATGTAAATTGGTTGGAGCAACAAGGAGACACAAACGATACGCAAACACTCACGGTATGACATAACATAAAATAGCCAAAGTTTCCCTTGCCTGATATAAAGCCATCTTACGAAACCACATAAGAGTTGAGAGAGCGACGGACGGGTTAGCAATTGTAAAGCGCCCAAATGACGTTACTTGAACTGGAAGTTGAGCAAGGGTAAATTATTTGGTGACAAGCGAGCTTGTTCCCCACTGGTTGCATTTAACGACGTTATAAATCAATAGTGTCTTTTGTAGATGATAAAAGTCACACACGTACCGACGAACATGTAGCTCTGTGGTCATTTTAGACTGCACGCGCGAAGAAATAATAATGATGTATTTATTGCTTAGCATCAGATAAATCAAGTGCATTCACACAGAGGAGTCCCTCATTCTATGTTAATGCTTATACGTATAAGCCATTCCACTAATTGGTGTCATTTGCTTCCCCAGGAAATAGAATGTATAAATGCACTATACAGTTACATGAAAATAAAATAAAATATTCCTGCACATTGTTGTATTGATGTAAAATGTCTTGTGCTTAATGTTAGCATTCTATTAGTATAAATGTCAAGGCTATAGTGTATGCTTTTGCTCATAAAAGAGTTTCAGCACAAAAAACAATGATGAAAAATAAAACGTCTGAAATTCACCAATACACATTTTGAGTTGAAAAGAATTTAGAAGAAAAAGAAAAGACAGAACTTTAGAACAACAAAAAAAAAAGTGTGATCGGGACATCTCTAGCAGTTAACTTATTTTT